CCACTGTTGCACTTGATCTCTTGCTTGAACAGGTGGAGCAGATTGATGAGGCGTTACATTTCAGCATTTGAGAGGTTTTCTACAGCTTGCATTCCAGCCTGCCTGGGCGCATGAGGTGGCATCACAGTGTTACAAACGAGCTTTGTACACTGCCCTCTCCTCATTTTCTTACCTCCAAACTGCCTGCATCTCTCCATAAACTTGCAGAATTCCATTGGGCCTTTTGGATCAAGGTGTTATTGTCCCAGTGCCAGCAGCATAATGGTTTCAGGGGTTTTACTCCAATTTGTTCACAGACCCAAAAGGAGGTATTTACCCCATCCTAGACCTCAAGGCACTGAATGTTTACATTTGGGCCCATAAACTCTGGATGGAATCAATCCGATATATCATTGTCATGGCCAACTTCTGAATTATGTGGACACTGAATAAGTTTACTTACATATTCTCATTGTTCCAGCATGCCAAAGCTTTCCGTGCTTTGTGAAGGGATCCCTATATTGCTGTATTATCCCCACTGTGGGATACTTACTGACCTCCTGCAGAGGGAACAGTTTTTAGGGCTCTGTCTTACAATGCATCTCTAACTGCCTAGACATTGCAGAGGTTTAGGTGGATGCTGAACCTTCAGAAATCATCAGTGGAAATGACTAATCACTTGGGATATCTGTCTTTAGTTCTGGACACATTTTAGGGCACAGTCTTTCCTCCTCAGGAGAAGCTTCAGCCCTCAGATTCTTAAGTCCAGAAACTGTCAGACGCTGTGCTTCTGCATGAGTGTCTTGGGATTGATAGTAGCCTCCTTTGAGACAGATGCCTTTGCTCAACTACACTCCAGACATCTGTAGCAACAGCATCCTGTCATCATGGGGCAAATCAGTCCTGGAGTAAATTCAGTTGTCACCAAGGATGAGGCTTTGCCTGGCTTGGTGACGTAGATATCTGGCTTGGAAGCCAGGGAAGTCTCTTCCTCTGGTCTTTTGGTTAATTTACCTAGTGGAAGCCAGCCTGTATTGCTGTCCAATAAACATCCTAGAGCTTCAGGTAATTTGACTGTCCTTTTAGCATTGGACAAACCTGTTGAACCAATAGTTATGGATTCAGTCAGACAATGCCATCAGCCATCAGGAAAGAACAAGAAGTCTCACTGCAACAAGTGAGCTGGAGCGGATCCCGTCCTGTGCAGAGCTGTACATTTTAGCCTTAGCAGTGTGCGTTACAGGAATAGACAATTGGCAGATGGATTTCCTCAGCTGACAGCACATGGGCCCCAGAGAATAATCCCTACACGTGAAGGAGTTTCAGGACAAGTGTCACAGGTGGGGAACACTGGATGTGGACCTACTGGTCTCCAGGTTTAGAGATCCTGGTGGATGCAGTGGTAGCTCCCTGGGATCAATACACCCTGACCTAATGCCTTTCCTCTGCTGAACATCTTTATCATCTGCTTAACAGAATTAAGATGAAAGGTATTTCAGTAATTCTCATTGTCCTACAACAATTAAAGGTAAGAATTCCATTTCCCGTAAGATAAATCATTGGACTTGGGAGTCATAGGTCACATGCTCTGAGCCTAGAGTTTCTCTGTGGAATGAATTCTCTCTTTCATGCAGTTGGGACTGGATCAACATTTGAGTCACAAAATCAAGCTCCAGCACTTTCTCTATTCTATTAAAGAGACCATTGGCCTCTTCGATTAAGTCCTTTGTTCAAGGGAGTCTCCCATGCAAATCCCCCTGTCCATTTCCTCATGACATCTGATTCTCGTTTTCTCTGCTCTTCGGAAACTACCATTGGAATCCATCAGATACATTTATCGCTCAACTCTCACCCACAAGGTGATTTATGTCTTTGGTTCACATGCTCTTTAGGTTGTACCAGGTGGACATTTGATGCCAGCTTCAGGCGTAATGTCTTTTTAATGTCTTTTTGAGTTGCAAACACACCCCTAGTGTTCTAATGTTTCCTTGTTGTTTGCTTTGTAGTTCACCCCTCAGTTGGACTGCTTTTGGATGCCCTGAAGGTTTAACACTTCCTCTAAGCCATAATGAACAATTAAGAAAATAGGATTTTTGTACAAACTGTAAAACTTTTCTTGGAGTTTATTGAGTTTATTGAGGGACACATTATGATCATGCTCTCATTATAACTTTGCTAGAAAACTTTGGCATTCTGGTAGTAGAAGGGGTTATACCTCGAGCTGGCCTAGAGTTTGACAGTATCTAATCTTTGTGCAGATGGAAGTTTAAGATTTCCTGTTTCCCTTAATGGAAAAAGTACAAACGTTTTTTATTTTTTTAGAAAGAGGGTCTCTACAAAATAATGGAATTTTTGAGAAAGCAGTTCAGCTGTAAAGCATTAAGCTAGCCTAACTGTATAGCCATGTATATGTAGTGTAGGTTGCTATACTAATTGCACTTCTTGAGCTTATAAAATATTTTGCTTTAGGAAGGAAACATTGACACAAAAGTTAAGTGGCTGGAGAATGTGGTTTTAATATCATTACCCCAGATGCCATGATTAAATAGAAAATTGAATTAAAAATGCTTATGTATATATCCAAATACACACTGGCAACTTACATATGATGGCCCAGAAACTTGAGGAGGTTGTGACGAAAAGCAAATGGAAGGGTAGTCTAGTGTGCGCAGCAGTGGACATTGCAATGCCATGTTCCAGTATGTACTGGTGCTCTATATCAGCAGGGGGAGCAAACCTCTTGTAAGATTTAAGAAGATTAACCAAATTTAAAGCCTACAAATAAAAATGTCAACATATTAAAAATATATTCAACAAATAGGAAATACAAACAACCATGAAACTCTGTAGATGTCTGATAGATCCTCAATAAGATAGAAGGGAATCCATGCATACCCAAGCAATGACAGATGCAGACAAACAAAAAATCCTGTGGTTTTTGATACCCTAAAGTTAAATTATCATGAATATGATATCATAGCATAATTTATTCAAACTGAGTTAATAAATGAATATATCACAAAAAAAAAAAGTAATATAAAATGACACAAATATAGTACTGTAAAAAAATGAAAATGCCACCTTTAAATCAGATCATTAATAGCACAGTAATATGTCTGTATAAATAAACAATACATTTTTTTAAATCTGGGAGTGGAACCCCTGAGGTTACTCTACCTGACTTAGCTGGATATTTGTATTCTTTTCATCAGCAGCCATTATAACCTGCAAGGTCCCCTCAATAGTTTCATAGTCATAGGGATCCATCTGAAAGAGTTATTAATATGACGTAGACACAAGAAAATTATTAAGTGATTTATGATGCCTGAGCAACATAATGGACATATGAATTTCTCACACTTGTATTCAATGTGGACATAATATTTTAGTTGAATAAAAATTCAAAATTCCTAGAATAAAAGTTAAATCTCCGGTGCTCAAGTGTGATGTTCTAACCCTAGGTAGACTCTCTTTGATCCAGATATCCTAGGTCCATCCTCATGACTTCAAATCTCAAGTGTGCACCTCGCCTTGCTGCCCTCCTCAGACTGGGGTAGTGGAAAAAACTATATAAAAGCACATCAGCCTAGTGCATTATCATTAAACACTGTTTATTAGAAAATATGATACAGTAAGTAATTATACTGACAGAAAAGAAAGGCTCATCCCAAATAAAGGACAGCCAGAACCACTATGAGTGCCCCTTTTACACTGGGAAGGTGCCACGCAGGCCTACAAATGCTGATGCGTTTAGAGGAGGTATCTGTTGAAAGTCCATGTTCTACTGACATGAGTGCCAGGTATGGAACATTTAAAGAAAAAGAATGTGACAGACCCAACCAGGACAGGGACTCTTGGAGGGCACTAGGGGCTAGCCTTCTACCCACTGATTATGGCTCATGGAGGAGAAAGGGGATTTTGTCTGCTTCTCCTGGTCAGAGCATGGAACAGAGTACAGTTCAGCCTCTGATCACATGGAGAGAGTGGATCAGTCTCTGATGATGGATAACAACCTGATGAACACCGAGAGCGAGGCTTGGATTCATTCTCTGAATAAAGACAATAAAGCTTTCCTTCTGGAGTGTAACATTAATATGTTTACAGTTTGCATTGTTTAGGATAATGTGATTGCCTGATTCTGTGTGGTATAAATTCTGTGTGAGTTGACAGCACAGAGAGTTCCTTGTTGATGCTAAGCTAGTGTAGTCTAGCTCTTGGGTGCAATACCTAGCTATAATACCTTGGGGTCCTGTGTCTCAGCGGCGAGGAAGCAGTTCTCTGACAGAAGCACCCAGGTGGGGTGTCACAGTCCGTCACACAGAGTTAAGCAATGGCAGCCACCATATTGCTTTCAGAAGAGCATGCATGTCTCCTGCCTCTCAAATAAGGAGCTGCCCTGAAGCCCACGAAGGGCTGCAGTACACCCAAGCAAAAAGCTAGAACAGAAAATTCTTTTGCAACACTATAATATTTATGGAAGATGTTATTTGGAAAACATATTTTATGGTTTGATATACAGCAGATGAATTAGAAATAAATGGCACAGTTTACATTGTGCAGTATAATAGCAAAACTATGAGAAGTTATTATTTGGAAAATATATTTTTTACGGTTTGGTATACAACAGGTGATTTTGAAATAAATAGTAGAATTTACCTTATGCAGTATACCCGTAAGACTAACAACTAGGTCCTCTGTGCTATTTAGCAGAGGAATGATCAATTTTGCTTTAGCCACCAGCTGAGCATGCTGTTCAGAATCCCCTGCACAATCTTCACGGCTGTGTTTCCAGCTTGAGCCAGACAGGAGCAGTGTTTCTATGTAAAGTTGGAGTGCAGCATCGCTATCTAACATAAAGGTACTTGGATAAAAAAAAAAAAAGTTTTAAGAAATTACTGTACATTCCTATAACTGCCACCAAAGCAGCTCTTAAAACAGTAAGTAGCTATTTACCTGCAATACTTAAGTATGAGTGATGTATCCACACTTGAATTTTGAACTAATGTTGAAATAAGCTCTTTCTTCTGTTGTGGTCCCTGTCGGAAGGCAGACTGGAAAGAAATCTGTAATATAAATATTCTAAATGAGTGTAATGGATACAGCATGTATTATAAAGCATATGCAGAGCATACAAACTGCTTTATTCAACAAACACAAAGAAGCAAAGTGCCAATTTCCCACCCAGCGTCCCAATAAGTGGGTCTTTATGTCCAGGGCAGGATGGACTTCCTCATATGACCACTGTGATATACTGTCACAGTGCTCACGTGATTGGGAGTCCATGGTGTCAGTTTCCAATCACCACTTAAGACCAAGAGCTGTCTGAGACATCTTGGCCACTGTGCTGGGAGCATGCTCTCAGCACAGAAACCTTGGTCATCCATAGATACATATGTGAGTGTGGGCTTGAAAGTTACATGGGCAGCAAGAGGTTAAGCAAATATTCATAGCTCATTTTGTCCTGGTCTGGCATGAGCAAAATTAATTTAGACTGGTTGCTCCAAATAATGTGCTTAGGCAGAGGCAGCCAATCAGTGCCTCTGCCGAATAAGATCTTCTGGTTAGATTGCTGTGGATCTAACCAGAAGTTACCAGGAAGCACCAGCTGGCTGGTACTGTAAAAAAAGGGATCATGCAACTGCTAATGATAAAAATGTAAGGGAAATTGTGTAAGTTCCAGTTAGTGGGGAACAAGGAGGGGAAATAACTGCAGTTAATTACTGCAGTTAATTATAGAGTTTAGGTCTGCTTTTGGACTTTTGTTATTTGAACCGCATACTAAAAAATAGTGCTTCAGGATTTTTTTTGTTACCTGTAAAATACTTTTAGTTCTTTGGAATGCATTACAGGACACAGAGGGTTTGCTACATGGGTTCTGCTGCCACCTTCAGGTAAATAGATCCTGGTAGCCTAACCCTTATGAGATCCCTCAGGCAGAACAAACAGGGAATCAGACTGTGCAAACAGAGTTGAAAACTTCATATAAAATGAGAACAGCCCGAACAACAAGCGCCTCCTCTTTTGAATGCTTAGGAGTAGGACACACTGATGGAAACACAATGTCCTGATTTAGGTGCAATGAAGAAGACATCTTATGAAAGAAAGAGGATTGAGGCCTCAACAGCAACGTATCCTAGTAAAGAACCAGGAAAGGTTCCCTTTCAGGAAATAGCAGCACACTACAAGACTATGACTATGGAATATGAAGTGATGCCTAAGATAAGATGATTTGCTTCTACCTGAGCAGCACTACTTCTTGTCCCTCCTTAACAGCTGATGTATGCTACCACAGTGGCATTGCCTGACTTCACTTTACAGGGAGACTCTGAAGACAGACAGACCAGTGCAAGAGGGCCAGCCGAATCACCTTCTGTTTCAAGATGTTGAATGGCAATTTCTGACAACCATGTTCCCTAAACCAAAGGTTTCTCCAGGACAGCTCCCTAGCCTCACAGGCTGGTGACCGTTGTCAAGATCTTACACTTCATGGTAAGGATTTTCCTGCATTCAGCATCAAGGATATCTGCCTACACATCCCAATTTTCCAACCTCACCAACCAGCACTTGCAGAGGAGGACCTCCAGTACTGGTTTGTGGTGTTCCCTCTTGGACTATCCATGGCCACCAAGGCGTTACCAAGGTGTTGGCTCTGGTTCCAGGGTTGCTGAGAAGCCCAAGGATTTCCACTGTGGGATATCTGGATGACTTGCTCCTACAAGAGAAATTGCATTGAAGATTATAGTGCAATGTCTAGATGACAGTACAAGCCCTGGAGAGATTTGGTTGGGTGCAAAACCTTCAGAATATATCTTAAGCAGATCTTGGTGGTAGTAGCAAATATTCAAACGAGAACTTTGAAGGTTGAAGTGGAGAAGGGTTCCATGTGAACAGCAGTTGAACATGGGTCAGTTGGTCCTGAGAGATTGTCCTCAGGAGAACTGCCTGCCTCTTCAAGCCCAGGTGGAGCTTCTAAGGATGTTAGAAGGTCCCTTGATCTGGACATGCATGAGAATGCTGAAAAGATGGTAGTTGCCTTCAAGGCAGTCCCCTATGCACAGTTTCACTCCAGAGCTGTGCAGCTGAATATCCTGGCAGTTGGGAGTCCTTGTATAGGTCAATGCTTTGACTCCCAAGAGCAGAGTGGCTCTGAAATGGTGGATATGCACCATTTATGAAATTTTCTTTAACGTAGCAAGACTTAGATTTGTGATATAATTTCAAGTCTAAAGAACTATGGGATTCAGTTAATATTTCCCCTATTGGTGGTCTCCTTTTTATGTCTCCCTGCATCTTGGACAGATGCGACTGCACTCTGGATGGTTCTATGTTGGTTTTGTAAGCTGTTTTTTTTTTGTTTCTTTCTTTTGGTCCTTTTCCTTCTGCTTCCCTTCTCTTGGGGGCAGGATAACCATATGGGTGATACTCTTGGTAATACTTATGCTTATATGTATGTTATATGTGTTTTTTCTAATTACAGATATGTAATGGATAATTGTCACATATGAGCATTATGTTCTGAAGAAGCGCTTCATAAACAAATGATTGATTCTAAATTATGTACAGTACTGTATATCCTCTAAATGATGGATCAGAAATGTATTCTGTATTTTAGGATATGTGTAATAAAATATTGTATGTTGATTTTAACTTTTTGAGATTACTTTGATATGATAGGAATATATCGGTGGGTCAACTTTTTAAACACCCTTCTTTTCTAGTAGGCTTTGCGCATTAGTCCTCATGCACACTGGACGTTTCTACAGCTGCTGTTTTTGGCTTTTGATGTTTTTTTCAACAGCCAGTAAACCCCCCAGCATGTTATCCTATGTGTTCATGCACACAGACTGTAATCAACGTTTTTAGTCAGTGGAGTTTTTTTGGCTGAAAAAAAAAAAAAAAAATCCAGGACTAGTGGGTTTCTAGAGGAGTTTTTTAGCTATAAAAACGCTCGAACGCTGTACACGCTGAAAAAATGTGTCCGGCATTTTTGGACTATTTTTGACAAAAAAAAAAAAAAAAAAAATATATATATATATATATATATATATATATATATATATATACATTTTTGGTAAAAAAAAAAAAAAAAAGCGCCAGTAATACACCTCCTGTGTTAGAGTTCCCTCACTCTGGATAAATGAGCACAGGGGCACGTTTGGACAATGGCATTGTCTGTCTGGGGGATGGGAGTGTAAAATGTACTAGCAGAATTAAATCCACTAACAAATTTTATATGAATTCCAGCTCAGACTTTATAAGCAGTTACAGCAACTGTTTTTTTTATTTTTGGATAAAAGTTTTAAAAACAAATATTAAAGCTGATCATTGTAATTGCTACTTTTGCTCTTTTGAAAAACAACAGACATTACTGGCTGGATCACCACATAATAACAAAAGAAAGAAAGCCTAAAAAAAAAAAAAAAAAAAAAAAAAAAACCAAAAAAAACAAATGCAACCATGACATCTAACGATCGGTAAGCTATAATATCAAAGGTTTGCTTTTGGGTTTAATATTGTTTTAAGAAAATAAGATGTGAGATTTTATTTGTAAGTCAAGGCTGGATGCTTACGAAAGGAACTCCTCTTGAACTCTGAAGGCATTATTGGCTTCCAATCTGTAACCTTTGCCTTCCTCTTAAGAGAGAGCACTCTTCCCAACAGTCACCTTCTGGATGTAGGCATGAAGGATGCTTGGAACGAGCATCCGCTTTCAAAGGGCAACCTCTCCATATACTTTTTGTAGAAAAGTTCTGCCAATCATCACTTAAGCCATAGGATCCTTCTCATATGGACAGACATAGTGCACACTCATGAAAGCGGTCTTCTCCTCCAAAGCATTCAACAAGAGGCTCAGGGCTCTCAGAAACTATTCCGGTAGCTGTCAAATGGGATCTGCCGAATAGAATTCACTGATATGTAACCTTTGCTTTGCTCAGACCTTAAGGGCTTAGCACACTCCTACAGCTGACACAGAGAATTACACCTCAATGAGGGCTTCCAACTGTGACAAACGCGAGATCGCGGCCACCAATATGCGAAGATCCCACGATCGCTGTCACCAATATGTGACGGGCGCGGCACTAGACCCCAGCCCTTCTCACCAAACTCGTGACCGAAGGACTAGCCAATCTAAAACCGCGCTGTCACGTGCGTAACAATGCCACACCCAGCTGCACCCTGCACAACGATTTTCCAGCTAATTGGACCACAATCTATGTACCCAGCAGCCTGAATGCGATTGTTACTGGGTCAGGTTAATTACGCAATTAACCCTTCACACTGCCACCACCTCCTTTTGTACAGAGAAAAAAACTCGGCGATATCAGCTATAACACTATAATGATTGAGATAATCGTCTGTATAAAACGGTCACTGCAGGTCGGTTATACAGAGGGTTAAACAAACACAGTAGCGTTCGCTTTAGAGGCAGGAATTCGTAAAATGCAATTAAGAGCTATAGAAACAGTTCAACACTTTCAGAAGGAAAGATTTATTACTAAAAAGGTCAAACGGGTGCAATAAAAATATTTACAGAAAAAGATGTAACTAATATATATATATATATACATAAACATACAGAGACCAACAGCACAGCAAAGAGATATCAGATAGAGGTGAAAGGGTTAAGGTAGTTTCCAAAGTCCTGGGTTAGCAGATCCAAGTTTCAGAGCGAAAGGGCACGGGTCTCCCCAGGTGGTACTGATGTTAAAAAGGGAGACGTCTTCAACTTTCCTCTCTTAGGCCTGACAGACCAATTTGTAGTTCCCCAGCAGGGGGTGTCTCTGAAGTCAAGGAAAAATACCCCGTTTAGGGTGTGGAGGTCTGGGCGGATACCTCAACTAGAGCCAAAATCTCTCCTAACTCATATTTTGGCCCATAACTTTCCATCTGCACAAGTGATATTCCACCCGTGGGTAGATTATTATGCAGACTCATCTGAGGATTGATTAGATATGAATTATGAAACTATACACGAAACGGTTCACGAGATCTACTTTTTGGCTTTCCTATGTATTCGAGACAAGGCGAGTGACCCACCAAAATGTTCGTCTCCTCTTAGCCAATCTGACGATATGTCCGGTTTTTATGTAAGTCTCTTATATTCCAAGATATGAGACATAGGGAAAAAATGGATTTTAACAAAGGTTATCTGGTCGTGTTTGCTGGGAATGTTCTTTGAACTCCTGGGAAAGCTTGCCTTATCTTATACGAGGTGTTACATTGCACAGGTTCTTTGGACAGCTAGGCCCCAGCTCCCTTGGGGATTTTATAGCACATAGCCCCCTGCTGGGCTCTAGCCTCCTGTGACACTCCTAACACACACACACTGGCCAAATATCACTGTGCTTCTCAGAGAGGGAGGGGGAGAATGAGGGGGAAATAGGTTTGTCAGGATAGTTAACCCCTTGGCCAAGATGGAGGTTGAAGCCAAAATGGTTGAACCGCGTCCATCTCTGGGTGTACGCCTGCCACACCAACCTCTAATTCATGGCATCTTTAAAGATTGGGACAGGACTGCCAGGGTCTTATTCAAATAAGAAATAGCCAAGTCAAGTTGAGTTGGCAAATCCCATTTCTTGTAGAATACTCTCTCCATGGTATACTGGTGAGAAAACCATTTCAGTGGCAGAAACACATTCTGTGGGTGAGCTCAATCAGCATTCATTACTTTCTGAATGCGAGAGGGCACTGGAAGAGATGTTGTAAATTTGTTTTGGTGGCTGTCAGGACCCAAAGCCAGGGACTTTAGGAAAAAAAGATTAAAGTAAAGGAAACTAAAGGTTGGTGCGGTGCATTTGCCAGGAAGCCTACTGTGGCCTTCTGTGTCTAAGACAACCCTGAACGCTGAGATTCTTCTCGAGATGTCTCATCTACAGAGGATTCCTGAATGGCTGCCACTTTTTCCTCCTCTTCCGGTGGAACTCATCCTCCCGCAAAAGGGCTCTGCCTGTGAGAACCCATGGCTTGCTGAGGGGTGATAGGCCTGCAACCCTGTGAGAAGCAGCCACTAAGATAAGAGGAGTGTTGACCTATGCCAAAACACTAAAGTGACAGCACCATCCAAAAATACACACACCCCTTTATTTGCTGTGGCCCGATGGATTGTAGTCAGCTCAGTTAGTGGTTGTGGAGGGCAGGATGGCTGAGATATCAGGCGATGCTGTTGTGTAGTGTGGGAAAGATTCCTAAAAAACAGAAAAGGGACTCAAAATAGCCAACTGGCCCATCCCTCCTAAACACTGCCACAGCTTGTATATCACCCCATAAGCAGTAAAACATATATCCTGATGCTCTAAAACACCAGACACAGAGGGAACACAAAGGAGGAAGGCTGCCACATCATCCCAAACAGAGGCAATTACCAGTTCACGCTGCAAGGCCTATTAGGACAAAACTTCACCCATCACCATTAGCAACTGACACCTCTCAAGGAAGATCACTGCCCTGGACATGTACAGCACCCTGCCAGAATGATCACTGCCTACGGGATCCAGCATTGAATGGCAGACTATACAGGCCATTCCTGCTCTTGGATGAGGGGGCCAGATACAGATTCTCTTGGTCTATTGGTAGTAGTAACTGATCCAGGTAGGGACCACCTTTGTCCAGATATGGGTGCTTGGAACAGGCCCAAAAATACAGGAATAATTCTAAAAAAGGAATCTTCAGAGGCGCTCCTGAAAGCATCCATCAACCACTAGCACAAAACTGAGATTTAGCTGAGCTGGAAGGCTTTATGTCTGGACAGGGATTCCTGCCTTTATTTCTGGCCAGTGTCCATTCACCTGAAGGTGGCAGCTTAACCCATATACAGTGTAGTATTGACCATTACCTCCTCTGTGTCCAGTGATGTACTACAATGTTGTTTAAAGAAAGGTACATTTTTGCAGTAACATAAAAATCCAGTTAGATTTGGACATAAGAAAAATCTAAACTGTTCAAATAGCAGTGTATCTGAGGGACAATACAGGTAAATGTATGACAAAGTCACTGTTTGCCTGTATAATTTAATCATTTAGCTCACGTGTTATTAGTGATTATTGTCCATTTGGATAGCAAGAATTCCTGAAAAAAATAGTCAATATGAGATTTAAATAAAACAAAAAGTAAAATGTTGTCCATTTGATTTTGGACGTCAGCAATGTGTTCTGTCTTTGCAAGGTAATCTGTAGAATAACCATAGTTCATAACCTAAAATCATTATATAATCATTACATGGAAAACTTACTCCATAGCTACTGAGCTCGATACCCCATTCAGCATCAGTAACAAGCTCTTGAAACTTCTTTCTTTCTTCATTTTCGTGACATATAAATGTAAGCTGGGCTCCAACGACAGCTACTGCCTGTATATGACATTTGTTAGTGGAGTACTTTCAATAAAGAAAAAGAAAATTACAAGAGTATATTATCTGGAACATACCAGAATCTTGTTGTAGTTTTGCCATGTGTTGTTTATGACATCCCACAACTTTTTGAAAACCTCTGTCTTGGGTAGAAGTGTGCAATAACCCAGTGCAAGGTTGCAGTCCACTATACGGCAATTGAAAACCTGTAGAAAAATCAAATAAAAATTAATAAATCATGAATAGCACAAATTGTAGGAAGCTTGTGCTCAAAAACGGCTTGTTAAGCAGTCAAGCAAAATGTTTCTGTTTATGTAACCATCAGACAATTCTAATGCCTGAGGAACAGACTACGACTGGCCAGGTGTGGGTCTTAGAGTTTTAATAAACATAAGATGATTGCCTAACTACTGGTCAAATTGAAGCACACTGAAAACTCTACAAATCAACTAGTGGGGTGGAACGGCTTGTCTACAGGGGTGTCAAACTCAACTTCACCATAGGCAGCATCAGCATTATGGTTGCCATCAAAGGGCTGATTACATATGTAACTACTCTTTATCATATTAAATAATTCCTTCTCCATTTGATTTTTAGACTTTAGGCATTTTAAAACTTAAGGAATATTTAAAACTTCACTTTGTACAACATCCCAGTTTAAAATAAAAATAAAACCTTTACCTATAAAAACATTATAAATCCCCCCCCCCCCCCCTTTTTTTAATAAGTGATCACATCCCACTGTTCTCAGCTGCCTAGTGACCAATTTGTAAAATATATTAATTATATTAATTTATTTTTGCTACTCATCGCTGCACTAATTCAACTGATAATTGCGCGGTCATGCAATACTGTACCCAAACGAAATTTACGTAGAAATTTTAAATAGAGCTTTCTTTCGGTGGTATTTGATCACCTGTGCGCTTTTCATTTTTCACGTTATAAACAAAAAAGGACCGGAAATTTTGAAGAAAAACAATATTTTTTTTTACTTTCGGGTATAAAAAATATATAGTAAATTCCAAAGTTAGTTATAAATTTAGGCCAAAATGTATTCTGCTACATGTTTTTGGTAAAAAAAAAAAAAAAAACCCCAATAAGTGTATATTGATTGCTTTGTGTGAAAGTTATAGCATCTACAAACTATGGTATAGATACTGCAATTTACGCCATTTCTTTGCTATACAGCGCTGCACTCATTTAACTGACAATTGCGCGGTCATGCAGTATGGTACATAAATTACATTTATGTCCTTTTTTTCACATAAATAGAGCTTTCGTTTGGTGGTATTTGATCACCTGTGCGCTTTTAATTTTTGGCGCTATAAACAAAAAAGTTTTGAAGAAATTTTTTTTTTTTTTTTTTAAACGATATTTTCTCATTTCGGTCAAATAAAATATCTAAAAAAACTAAAATTTCGTAATCAATTTAGGCCAAAATGTATTCTGCTACATGTTTTTTTACTTTCCGACTGCTTATCATATTTCTTGAGGTGCTAAAATACCAGGACAGTACAAACACCCCAAATTACCCCTTTTTGGAAAGTAGACTCCCTAAGCTGTCTGCTGAGAGGCATATTGAGTCCATTATTAATTTTTTTTCCACAAGTTTCTGGAAAATGACAAAAACTTTTTTTTTTTTTTTACACAAAAGTTGTCATTTAAATTATTTATTTCTCGCACAAGCCATGGGTATGTGTGGAATTACACCCCAAAATACATTCTGATACTTCTACCGACTATCAGGATACCACATGTGTGAGACGCTTTGGGAGCCTAGCCACATACAGGAGCCTGAAAAACAATGACCACTTTGAAACCCAGAAGGTGTGTAACTTCCTCATTTCACTTCCTCACTACCCATCACAGATTCAGAGGCCCTGAAAACCAGGATAGCACCAAACCCCCCCAAATGATCTACTTTTGGAAAGTAGACACCCCAATGAATTTAAAAAGAGGCATGGTGAGTATTTTGCAGATCTCATTTTTTCTCACAAGGTTTTGAAATCTAAAAAAAGAAAAAGAAAAAAAAATATGTTTTTGTTTTTTTTTCTTCATTTTTCCAAAAACTTGTGGCAACAAACGAGAGCTGCAAAATACTCACCATGCATCTTATCAAATTCCTTGTATCTGAAACTGTGATAGGTAGCCGGGAAGTGTAATGAGGAAATAAAGCCCATTAAAAGCATGAAGGTGCTTTTTGGATTTTGGGGTCCTGTACTTGGCTAGACTGCCAAAACAACTCTCACATGTGGTACCCCCCCCCATACTTAGGAGAAGTAGCAGAATGTATTTTGGGGAGTAATTCCATATACAGTTGCAAGAAAAAGTATATGAGCCCCTTAGGATTACGTGGAGTTTTGCATGAATTGGGCATAAAATGTGCTCTGAACGTCATCTAAGTCACAACAATAGAAGAACACAGTCTGCTGAACATAATACTACACAAACATTAGATGTTGCCATGGTTTAATTGCACATAACATGTAAACATTCACAGTGCAAGGAGGAAAAAGGAGGTGAGGCCCTAGCTTAATGACTTCTCCCAGAGCTAATTGGAGCCAGGAGTGAGCCAACCTTGACTCCAATCAGTGTGATCATATTGGATGTGTTGCTGACAGCTGTCCTGCCCTTAAAAAACACACACCTGTTTTGGGTTTACTGGTTTCAAGAAGCACTGTCTGATGTGAACCATGCCTCGCAGAAAAGAGCTCTCAGAAGACCTACGATCAAGACTTGTTGACTTGCATGAAGCTGGAAAGGGTTACAAAAGTATCTCCAAAAGCCTGGATGTTCATGTGTCCACGGTAAGACAGACTGTCTACAAATGGAGAAAGTTTAGCACTGTTGCTACTCTCCCTAGGCATGGTCATCCTGAAAAAATGACTGCAAGAGCACAGCGCAGAATGCTGCATGAGGTAAAGAAGAATCCCAGAGTGTCAGCTAAAGACCTACAGAAATCTCTGGCACATGCTAACATTTTTGTTGACACATCTACAATAAGGAAAACATTAAACAAGAATGGAGTACATGGGAGGACACCACGGAGGAAGCCATTGCTGTCCAAAAAGAATATTGCAGCACGTTTGAAGTTTGCAAAAGAGCACCTGGATGTTCCACAGCACTACTGGCAAAATATACTGTGGACAGATGAAACCAAGATTGAGTTGTTTGGGAAGAACACACAACACTATGTGTGGAGAAAAAAAAAAAACACAGCACACCAACATCAAAACCTCAACCCCAATGTATAACATGGCGGAGGGAGCATCATGGTTTGGGGCTGCTTTGCTGCCTCAGGGCCTGGACGGATTGTTGTCATTGATGGGAAAATGAATTCCAGAGTTTATCAAGACATTTTGCAGGAAAACGTATGACCATCTGTCTGCCAACTGAAGCTCCGCAGAGGATGGGTGATGCAACAGGACAATGACCCAAAGCATACAATTCAACAAAACAATGGCTGCAACAGCACAGAATACGCCTTCTGGAGTGGCCCAGTCAGAGTCCTGATCTCAACCCGATTGAAATGCTGTGGCATGACCTTAACAGAGCGATTCACACCAGACATCTCAAGAATATTGCTACACTGAAACAGTTTTGTGAAGAGGAGTGGTCCAAAATTACTTCAGATCGTTGTGCAGGTCTGATCTGCAACTACAGGAAATGTTTGGTTGAGGTTATTGCTGCCAAAGTAGGGTCAACCAGTTATTAAGTCCAAAGGTTCACATACTTTTTCCTCCCTGCACTGTGAATGTTTACATGTTATGTGCAATTAAAGCATGGCAACATCTAATGTTTGTGTAGTATTATGTTCAGCAGACTGTGTTTTTCCATTGTTGTGACTTAGATGACGTTCAGAGCACATTTTATGCCCAATTCATGCAAAACTCCACGTAATCCCAAGGGGTTCACATACTTTTTCTTGCAACTGTATACCCATGGCATGTGTGAGCAGTAAATCATTTAAGTGACACAATTTTTTTTGTCATTTTCCAAAAACTTGTGGTAAAAAAATAAAATTCTTCTAGTGATTCAACATGCCTCAGCAAATAGTTTGGGGTGTCTACTTTCCAAAAAGGGGTCGTTTTGGGGGGTGGGGGCATTTTCTGCCCAGTATTAGAAGTTTAAGCCACACATCATTCACTCTAACTACCCGATGATCAAGCCTTTTCTGACACTTTTTGGTCACATGAAAAAAAAATCAGTATTTTTTGCTAGGAAATTAATTTAAACTCCCAAATATTATATTTTTTTTTAAAGCAGACACCCTAGTGAATAAAATAGTGGGTGCTACAATTTTTTATGTCACATAATACTCGCGCAGTGATTTTTCAAATGCAAATTAAAAAAAAAAAACACTAACTTTTAAATGCACAAAACCACAATATATTGGCCAATTATGTGGTAAAATATAAAAGATGATGGTATGCCGAGTAAATAGATAAACATGACATGATTTAAAACTGTACATCCCCGTGCAATGGCGACAAACTGCATACTTTTTTAATATCCATAGGCAACGTTTTAAAAGCCTTTACAAGCTACCATTTTAGATTTACAGAGGAGGTCTAGTGTTAGAATTACTGTCCTTGATCTGACGTTCATGGCGATACCTCACATGCATGGTGCAATTGCTGTTTACATACCGACACAGGGTCAACGCTCACGCACACAGGTATGCGCACGTGGTGGAGCAAGGTTTTTTTTTTTATGTTATTTTGATTTTTTAAAATTATTTTTACACTGTCCCTTTCATTTTTTTTTTTATCACTTTTAAGGCTATCACAGGGAATGCAAATATCCCCTATAACTTCAATGGGCATTGTCATATATTCTTTTTTGAGAAATCTGGGGTCTATCAGACTCTAGATCTCTCCTCTGCCCTTACATTATCTAATCAAACCAAGATCGGTGTGATTGGATGCTTTCACAATTTACAAATGGCGCTGTTTACATCCTGCGAAACTGAAGTGATGAAATTCTCGTAGCTTCTGATTTCTTAGACTATAGAGATGATTGGCACCATTCTGGTCTCCAATCAGCTCTATGGTCAGCTATCAGAAACACCGGCTGCATTCTCAGGTTCCCCCGATGGCACGGGACTGCCCGAGAAGGTCGTGGAAGGCAGCAGGGGAGGGAGGGAGGGCATCATCTCCTGCTGCTTATAAAAGCAATCCTGCAGCTAATTAGCCACTAGGATTGC